TTTTCTTTAAGTTCCTGTGGAACTTTTGGTGCTTCAGTTTGTGGCCATTACCTCTAGTTCTGTCCGTGGCCACCACTGAAAAGAGACCAGCACCATCCTCCTCGCCACCTTCCTTGAGGTACTTATAGACACTGATTAGATCCCCTCTCAGCCTTCTCTTCTCCAGGCTGAGAAGAGAAGCTCCCAAATCCCGAGCTGAGCATGGCCTTAAATCCCCAAAGAGGGAAGCCCTGACGCGTATTTTTGTGGGACCACAGCCACCCCCTTTGAGGTGCACATGGGCCTTAGCCCCAGTGCCAACCACACAGAGCTTGCAAAGTGGCAGCTGGTGCCTGGGGCGCTGGCGTCCCGGCCACATAGTGCCCTTGATTCCTTGACGGGCAGCACATATCTTCCAGGAGCTGAAGAGCACGGACATGAAGTACCGCAACCGGGTGAGGAGCCGCATCAGCAACCTCAAGGACCCCAAGAACCCCAACCTGCGAAGGAACGTGCTGTGCGGGGCCATCGCGCCCGGCCTCATCGCCCGCATGACGGCCGAGGTGTGCAGGGGGCCAGGGCTGGGCAGCAACCTGTGCCCCACGGTGATTCGGGAGATTGGGAGCAGGGATGGAGCCCGCTTGGCTCCCCAAAATCCACTCGGCGAGGGGGGACCCAAAGGCCAGCTGGGCCTTGGCTTGGTGGTGCCCACGTGGTGTATGGGTTTGTCCCACTACATGGCACAAAATAACCATCTGTCAGACCCAAGGAGCTTTGTGTGTCCATGGCTTCCTGGTAAAACTCTTGGTGGGTCTGTGGCTTCCTGGTGAAACTCTTGGAGATGGTGTTTGCTCGGGCATTAGGAGCATCCTAGGAGGTGGCATCAACCCAAAAGCTTTGGGTACTGCTCCCCCAGAGCCCTAGGACCAGGACAAGCCACTGCAGTCTCTAACCAGCACGTGAGGATGGGCTGATCCATTCCCAGAGGGAAAATTTGGACCCAGTGCAATGGGGTGGGTGGCGGAATCTTACCCACAACTGGGACAGTTGCCTTGGGCATGATGTCCCCACGCTGACCACAGCCACCGCTCGTGGCAGGAGATGGCCAGCGACGAGCTGAAGGAGCTGAGGAATGCCATGACCCAGGAGGCCATCCGCGAGCACCAGATGGCCAAGACAGGCGGCACCGTCACCGACCTCTTCCAGTGCGGCAAGTGCAAGAAGAAGAACTGCACCTACAACCAGGTGAGCCCCGCAGGACCACCCGGGCTGGGGGTCTCCCTGTCCCTGTGGTCCAGGGACAACGTGGGGACTCTGTTGACCTGTCTCCCGCCTTGTCCCCAGGTGCAGACGCGGAGCGCCGACGAACCCATGACGACCTTTGTGCTGTGCAACGAGTGCGGGAACCGCTGGAAGGTCGGGATGGGGCAGCGGGAAGGGATGCGCGGATGTCCCTCGGGATCCCCAAACCTGTTCTCTCTGCACCGCAATGGGGTGCAGGGGGGTGGCCCCTCGGGGTGCAGGTTGGTGCAGGTGTCACCCCCCTCTTTGCTTCTCTTGCAGTTCTGCTGACGGCGCCACCTTCGCTGCGGATGGAGGGGAGAGGCCCCAGCGACGGGCACGTCCCTGCGCAGGGGGACCGGGGTAGCGTGACCGGGGGGGCAGTGGAGATGTTTGCACCGGGGGCTGTTTTCTCTCTCCGAGTGGATGGGAAAGGACTGCCCCCAAATCGTCCTTGCCCCTCTCCTAAATGCACCCAGTGGGGGAGTTGAGAGGGTGCTCCCAGGAACATTGCTGGGATGCCACTGCTGTGCCTCTGTGTGGTGACATCTGGCTCCAGGGACCTGTGTCCCCAGGAAGGGGATGGGATTGCGGGGCAGGAAAGTGGGAAGTGACCCTCCAGCTGGAGCAATAAAGGCGTGAAACGTCCCTGCGACGCGGCTGCTTTCCAAGGAGACCTGGCCTGGGAGAGCCGCCGGGGCTGCCAGCGCTCCAGGGTCCCTTCCCGAGTCCCCACATCCCCTGGCTGCTCACTGGGGCCTCCAGCTTGATCTGAAGCCTCCTGGTTTGAGTCCTGAGGACATGTCTTGGGAGCACCACATTCCAACCAGCCCCTGCATTTCAGAATTCCCAGCAGGATGGAGCCATTGGAGCTCCCTTTACATTTTGGTTGGAGATGGGGACGGGGACAGTGGCCAGTGCGGCACAGCCTGGATTTGGGATGGGAGCCTGGATGGGAGTGTATGTCCCGCAGCAGCGCATCCATGAATCCTGGCAGTGCAGTGGGACCAGAGGACCCCGAGGTGGCCGGTGGCTCCACGGGGACGCAGCCCTGGGCACCGGTGACTCCTGGAGCCTGTGGGAAGGGAGCAGGTGATGGATTTGTCACAACGGCTTTGCTTGAAATTCCAGTACAGGAACTAGGGGGATTGCAGCCCAGGCCATAATTCCAGGCAGGCTCCGGAGCTGCCAGGCTCCGGAGCAGCATCAGGGCTTGGAAGAAAAGAGGGAGAGCTGAGGGCAGGGCGGGCTGCAGCTGGAGGGCAAATTTCCCAGCTCTTTTCCCATCAACATCTACTCCTCCCTCTCTTATCCCCAAGGGTGTCCTTGGCCAAGGCGGATTTTCCCCAGTGTTCTGCAGGGAGATGTGGGATTTGGTGCCTGAGCCATGGACATCAGTGGTGCTGGGGGTCACAAGGGTATCCTTGGTGTGCAGCTGTTTCCAGTGGTCAGGATGGGCTCCCAAGCTTTCCAAAAGGAAGATTTCCCCCTTGCTCTCTGCAAGGTGGGGTAAATTCCCACACCACACATCCTGTTGCAGGGCAAATTGTCTGCCTCGGAGTGACGTCTCTGGGGTTTTCCCTTCCCTCTTGGCTGTGGATGTCACGGATGTCGTGACTCCTCTCCCTTCCCAAACCGGGTAAGGGTTAAACCCGGCAGTCACTTTCTGTGCCCGCAATCAGCTCCCGAGCAGCCTCTTGCTCTGCGCTGGAAGTGGCCGCCGCACTTAGGATTCCCCGCCCCCGCTCGCGCCGCTGGGATGGGTCTCCAGTTGGCGCGCAAGAGCGGCTGCCTCCCCGTGGGGCTGCACCCCAGAAGCAGCACATGCAGACGGGCAGCACATGCAGCATGAGCAGCACAAGCAGCACATGCAGACGAGCAGCACATGCAGCACACGCAGCACATGCAGCACATGCAGTACATGCAGCATCCCCGTGGCACGCTCAGACCCGGGCCTGAGCCTTGGTGCAGGCTCTGCAGCTCCTGCCCCTTCTCGCCACCCAGAGTCACTCGCCGCTGCTTTTCTCCCCTGCAATTTTAAACCCGGCCTTGGGAAAAAAAAATATAGAAACGAAAGCAACAGAGGTGCTGACAGCTCAGCGGTTTCCGTGGCAACCCTCTTCCTCATCCCCTCGCACTGTAGCCTCCTT